TTAATAAAAAAAATTAATAGTGTAATATTTTTCTTAAAAAATAAATTAAAATAAAAAATGAAACAGTTCTGGTTATGAGGAAAAGGCACCAAGAGGGTTTATGATTGGCGAAAAAGAAAAAGAAAAAGAAGGCACCAAAAAGGTCCCAATCTTGGGATAAGGTAATGAGCTGTATATTTTGATTATCTTCGAGTTTGATTGTCTTGACAACGAAATTCCCTTTTCTCTTTCGTTTTGATGCTGGAAAAATAAAATGGACAAAAGTATGTGATGTCTATTACTACTACATACGATCAAATTTAGAAATTAAAAAGTAAACATATAAATGGCCAAAAAAATAAAGCACATGCATGCCTATACAGTAAAATGTAAGGATACATATCTATCCATATCCTCCATTCATTTAATTTTATTTGTTTTATTTTGACTTTTTAATTTTTTAAATATTAATTTTATATAAAAATTTAATAAAGCATCTAAATTGTATAATTAATTACAAATTTTTTCATGTATGTAATTCATATTAAATAATTTTATTTGATTAAAAAATAAATATTATTTACATATTATTTTAAATTTTTATCTAAAATTAATATAAAAAAATCAAAAAGTAGTAAGACAACTAAAATGACATACTGATTTCTAAATTTCTAATAATTAGTTAGAAGAAAAAGGTCATAGCTAACTCTATACGCTGACTGGTTAATGATCAGTTTTAATGATGCATTCTAAACAATATGATACTTATTCAAATTCCTTCATTTTCTAAAAAATTTGTATTTATTCAAAATAAGAAAGAAAAAGAAAGTCAGAAGAAAAAAGGTGGGTGGGGAAGGCAAAGGGAAAGATATATATATGAAAATGACTGAATAACCTCTCATGCAAATATGAATCAATGAGAAGGGTATAGTCATAAATCACACTCTAACAACTTAGTAGTACAAATTTAAGCACTACGAAAGAAATAAGTTCAATGAAATTGGTCATACAAACAAGCTATTTGCCATATTTGCAAATAATCTCACGCAAGATCGATGGCAGGGGAGAATTACATTTAATGGGATTCAATCTAGCTCATTTCTTTATTACTCTCTGTTTGTTTTAAATATTTCAAACAATCTTATAATTGATAGTTGATATCTATCAACTATCAGTATTTAAATTATAAAAAATAAATATTAATGGTGAGATATTCACTTTTAGCTAAGTATCAATCAACCTTTTTTTTCCTTGTTTAAACCTATTACAACTTCAGGGAGAAAAACCTGTTGCAATTTAAGAGAGGGGGATGGCGATTCAAAGCAGTCGCTGTGGGACTGAGTGCCCAACTATAGCCATTAACTGTTTTAAATTATTTATAATTGATAGTCGCTATTTAATAATTATTAATAATTGTCAAATGTTTATTATCAATTGTTTCTAAACATTAAATTAAATAAAAAAGTGTTTAGTTTAAATGTTAAAGAACATGTATTAACAGTTAATTTTAATCAAATTATTTATATATTTTAAATTATAAATAATAATAATTAATAGCTATTAAATATTAAATATTAATTGCATTAAAATAGTTAATTCAAATACCCTAAAGTCTTAATCATTTCCATTGTAATTCATAATACATCCAAATTTATTTTCTTTCTTAAATTATTTATCATATAATATAGTTTTTTTCAAATAATTGCTCACATACCAAAAGGAAGAAAACATGGCGAAG